TGAACCCAAAGAAGCCCACATCAAGACACATGATAATTAAAATACCAAGGGCCAAAGACAGAAAGAAAATCTTCAAGTAGCAGGAGAAAAGCAGATTAATTTCGTACAAGGGAGCTCGCATAAGACTGTCAGCTGATTTCTCAACAGAAACTTCGCTGGCTGGAAGGTCTTGGCAAGAAACATTCAGAGTGATGGAAGGCAAGGACCAACAACCAAGATTACTATACCCAGTCAAGGCTATCATCTAGAATTGAAGGAGAGATAAAGCGCTTCCTAGACAAGAAAAAGCTGAAGTAGTTCATCACCACCAAACCAGTATTATAAGAAATGTTTAAAAAAATTCTTCAAGAAGAAAAATGATAATATGAGTAATAAAATGGCAAAAACTACATACCTTTCAATACTTTAAATGTAAATGGATTAAATGCTCCAATCAAGACATAGGGTGGGTGAATGGAAAAGAAAGCAAGACCCATACATGAACTGCGTACAAGAGACCCACTTCAGAATGAAAGACACATATAGGGACTGAAAGGAAAGTGATGGAAAAAGGCATTTCTTGCAAATGGAAATGAAAAAAGGCTGGTGGCAATACTTTGGGCAAAGTATATTTTAAAATGAAAGCTGTAACAACTAAGGACATTTCATATACAATAGCCAAGATATGAAAGCAATCTTAGTGTCCATTAACAGATGAATGGGTAAAGATGCAGTGAATATATACAATGGAGTATATTACTCAGCCATAAAAAGGAATGAAACACTATGACTTGTGACAACATGGATGAACTAGAGAGTATTATGCTAAGTGAAATACAAATAAAATATAATGAACAACCAAAACAGAAACAAATTCATAGATACAGGGAACAAACTAATGGTTACCAGATGGAAGGGGGATTTAAGGGGCTGAGTGCAAATGGTGATGGGATTAAGTACAAACTGGTACTAGTTACAAGACAGTCATGGGGATGTAAAGAGCAGCACAGGGAATAGAGTCAATAATATTGTAATTAAGTGTGGTGCCAGGTGGGCACTAAATTGACCAAAGTTGAATAACTTCCTCAGTTAAATACGTCTAACCATTATGCTGTACACAAAACCAACATAAAAAAATCAAGTCATTGACATTACATTTAATTAATGTAACTTGATTTCTGTGCTATCAGAGCCATCCATACTATTAAAAGTGTCTGACGACCATGTGAAACAAAATTTTACAAGGATAGAGCCCTTACTTTTCAGTCCTATTCTGAGGTCACATTTTTGTCAACTATCATATCTAAACTGGTATATATACTAAGTCAACGGCTAAGTCACAACTTAAGGAACACCAGATTATTCACTATTTCCTAAATTTCAGAGCAGCGTAGGTGGTTCCCTTGCCTCACCCTCTCATGTGCCTGTGCTCCAGCTGTAACATGTTAATAACAAAAACTTCACACTTCTGTTCTTTGTCCTTCTGCCCCTGCCTGGAATATTTTCCAGTGTTCCTGCCTGGAAAATACTTACAAAATTATCAAGAACCAAGTTAATACTAATGTCCCTTATGAAATCTTCCCCATCTCTCCTTCCAGCCAGTTAAACTGACTACTCTCTAGAGGCCTCACTGTTCCCTGTGTAGGTCAACCATAGCACCTCCTTTATATTACTCACAGATTGAAAGGTAGGGGGGATATAATACAAAAAGACCTGCTAAACTACAGCAGGGAGAGGCATGCTGGGATGTCAAGAGACTGTTTTCTATGTATGAATCATTTACACTCAGTATGTATTCCACTTTTCTAAAGGGAATGGGGTGGGAAAGATTTATGTTTAGTGAAACTGGTTGTGTAATTTAAATAATATCTCTCAGAAATTATTAAACCAAAATACAAACCAAATCATACTTACTAGTTTACTGCAATTCATTCTTTGAATGACTTGATCATGCTTTGCTTACTAATTTGAATCTTCAACTATCCAGCAAGTAATATACACTCAAATATTTCCTGAAGTTAATTCGTTTTTCTTATGTTAACTGTACACTATGCATTACTGATTCTCCACTATAAAGCTAGAGAACAAGTACCTCTATCAGACATGCCCTCAATGCTCGTGACTGCCAAGTGAGAGACCAGGATTAGGAATACTGGACTTCAGAGGAGGAGGAAACCAGCACAGAGGTACTTTTTGCTCCATGCCTTCCCTTATCACCTCGCCTATGGTAACACCACTGCTCCTGAATAAAGAGGCTTATCACCGCATAGCCAATTCTTTATATATTCTAAGCTTCAGAGACACTATACTCAGCCTGCAGGCCAATGTCATTCCTCTTGATTTCTTTTGAATATTCAAATATCCCAGGAGATGGGGTTTTTCCAAGCCTCAGCATTTACTAAGTGACAGTGGGAGCAAAACATTTCACCTGTCTGGGACTTGGTTTACTTATCTGTAAAGTGGAGACTTCTGCCTCTAAGGTTATTGTTAGGTTATGCGAAAGAGAAAGTGCTCTTGTCACAATAAAGTGCTACAGAAATGTGAGCAATTACTTTTGAGAATACCCTGAATAATTTTCCTTCAATTCCCACTTAGGAAGCATCTAAATTTCTTATATAATCTCCTGGCTTATCTTCCTGTATCAAGTGTGTCGTTACCATTTCAGCATGTGCTCTAAGCTGAAACTTCCTTACCTACCTTACTTTCATTATTTTTCATAAACTTTAGTATCATATAGGTAGAAAAATTCTCCAGACAGGCTTTCAAACAAGCCGAAGCCTCTGTAGGCCTGGGGCTCCCATACCACAGGGTTCTAGCCCATATTCACTGAATGTGTAGATATAGAAAACTAGCTGTCTCTAGCACAACCAGGTAACTGTCTCCCGTGCAAAGAGAAGCCAGAATGCCTAAGCCCATTGAGATAAGAGTCCTGGCCTTTCCCCTAAATCATGTTGTCCTTATTTCAAGAGCCAGCAACTATTTAAAGCTCAAATACCTCACCAGTATGATACATACCATGAGCTCTCCTACTGCAAATAAAGTTTGGCTGCAGAGCCCAAAGGTAGCAATTCCTGCACAGGTAAAGTTTGTCTGATTGCCTCAAGCAAACTGGAACATGGAGATTATGAAATGCTAATATCACCTTTTAGGTACAGGAACTCAACCACATTTGAAACATACCCAAATGATCTCTGCCACCGAGAAACTAAGAGGGAAAAGCCTTTAACTTTGAAAAGTCTGCTCAAAGGAAAGTAAGGTTTCTCTAAAAACCTTACATCAGAAAGCCCTGGCCGGGAAGCTCAGCTGGTTAGAGCACTGTCCCACTGCCAAGGCTGCAGGTTTGATCTTCAGTCAGGGCACATAGAAGATTTGGCTAATGAATACATAAATTAGTGGAACAACAAATTGAGGTTTCTCTCTCTCTCACCTCCTTCCTCTTTCTCTCACCTCCTTCCCCTCTCTCTTAAAAACAAACAAGAGAACAAACAACCCCCTCAAAACAGAAAGAACCCATATATCAGAACTCTAAAAAAATCCTTAAGCTCAAAATAACTTGTATGAGAATTAATCTGTAACTTTTGCATTAAAATACAGATCACAACCATACTACTTTTAAAGGTCCAAACATAACTTTTTAAAGGGTGGTGGGGGGCAAAACCTCCCAGTGTCCAAAAAAAATTTAAGATAGAATGACTATTCAATGTGGAAAGATGTGAGATATGAATCACTTGGGAAGGAAGGTAATGTTTTTCAAAAACAGTCACTTGTTTATATTATAAGAATGTTATACAGAATGGTCCCCAAAACTTACTGTTATGGGTGTTAGAAAATGTGGAAAGCTTGTCTCTCTCAGCCTTTTATGTTTTGCTTAGAAACAAAATTGTTGTTTCTCTCTTCTAAACTCTTAGAAAACTCAAGTTAAATTTCTTTTAGTGAGTTGAAGACAGAGAGATATGAGTAAAAAGGTTAGAAAATTGTGCTATTTCTTAACAGACCTCCCCAAATCCCAGCTACTAAAGAATTAGGTATTAGTCAATTAGTGTCAGCTGTTCTTCCCTAAGAATTGAGAGATAAATTTTCTAAGATTAGCAACTGTTGGGATTCTTGGAAAGGTATTTAGATGACTGACTTTAAGTCTTAAAGCACTAAGTCATTCACAAATTCAACTCATCTATCAAGAACCTTAAATGGTAATGAGTGCAACTTCAAATATTTAATCTTGTTAAATTAATCTTAATTTAAAATATATTTCTATCTTGCAGAATCTTGTGTAGGTATTACAAAATAATAGTTATGGTGATAATCATAAAACACATTTTAGAAAGCTGAAAATCTCCTTGAAGACCTGAAGTTAACATCGAAAAAAAAAAAAGATAGGAGGAATGAATAGGCAGAAAAAAAGGACTTTTTGGGCAATGAAACTACTGTGTATGATACATGTCAGTATAAACTTATCAAAATCCTTAAAATGTACAATACCAAGTGAACCTTAATGTAAACTATGAAGTCTGAGGTGGTAATGACATGTCAAATAGGGCCACTGATTGTAAATGTACCACTTGGATGACGATAGCGGAGTAGGCTGTGCTGTCCAATCAATTTCACTGTCAATCTAAAACCGTTCTTTTCAGATAGTCTATTTAAAAACAAAAAACAAATGTCATACCTAGTATCAGATGCTTCACACATTTTTTGGTCTTCCTAGGTCTGGAACATTATCACCTGAAAGGGCCAACAGGCCATCAAAAAGCAGATGAAGGTAGATGCAGTGACTGCTATGTATGAACACCCTATACTAAAAACAGAAGTAGTAAGATAACAAGGTACGAAATGGGCATCAGTGTGCACATAATGGACGTGGTGTCTATATACTGTGTAGGCAGTGGACTAAGCCATTGCTAATAAATGTGACACTGTTCTGCTTGAATATAATTAATCATGCAGTCCGGAGGCAACCTATCTACTAAATAACTAAAAATTTTGAAAATAATCTGAGGTTGTTTATCTTTCATATCTGAGTAAAGCGCCTTTAACTTTGCTGTGCAGAAAAGAATTTAACAAGTCCACACAGCTGCTGCAGTCAAAAAGAAGCCAAGAGTGACAGTTTTCCTTGATAGTCCCCGTTCTGTTTGCTGTAACTGATCTGCAACATTTTGGGAAAAGACAGGTTCTACAGAAAAAAAATAAAAATAAATAAAAAAGAAAAAAGAATAGAGTTAACAAAGGCTCGAGACTGCTTGCAAAGTTGACCTCTGGCTAGCGTCTGAGAACTTGGATTTTAGAAGGATTCCCACCATTCTCAGATTAATAATGGTTCACTGTCCCTAAACTGTGTCAATAATGTGGTTTATGCTTTTTGCCAGTTTTCATTCTAAGCATCTTGAATTTTGTTATATGCTGGGCAGAAAGTACCTATGTGACCAGCCCCAATAAAACCCTTGGGCAGTCTCTTAAGAGTTTCCTTGGTAGACAACATTTCAGACATATATCCTGTCTGACTCTACTGAGAGCGAACCCTTGAAAGCTTGTGTCCGGTTTACTCTGGTATCTGCCCCAAGCACCTTTTCCCTGTGCTGATTTAGGTTTGTATCTTTCCACTCTAATAAATCATAGTCACTTTTGAGACTCTATGCTGAGTCCTAGCAAATCACTGAACCTGGGGGGATAGTTTTGGGAACCTCCAACACATATGCATTCTAGAAAAGTTGATATAGCACATCCCATAAGGTCTGATGACACAAGAAAAATATACCTAAAGGCCACTTCTTTCTTTCAAATTCTTTTTTTTATAATTTTATTTTAGAGATAGGGTAAGGGAGGGAGAAGGAGAGGAACACAGATGTGAGAGGGAAACAAAGATTGGTTGCCTTCTGCAAGCACCCCAATGAGGGCAGAGCACAAGGCCCGCAACCCAGGATGTGCCATGACCAGGAATTGAACCAGCAATTTTTTTTGTTTGCAGGACACCGCCCAACCAACTGAGCCATACTGGCCAGGGCTTTTCTTATACTTCTTATAATTTTTTAAAGGCCATTTCTTATAATTCATCAAGCATTCGTTGAACATCCACCAGCATGTGTTACGCTGCACTGAAGATAGACTATTACAATATTACAGGAGAAGGAAACTCAAGCTTATTTACATTAAAATACCAATCACAGAGGTATTCTTAAAGGTAGCAAAACTCTGCCTGGAAAGCTTAGACAATATTTTCATTACAAAGAAACAGCTTCAGCTGGGTTTTTAAAAACCAGCAGCAGTCACCCTGGATAAAAAATGCAGAAGGAAAAAACGCTGCAGGAAAGAGGGACATCCTAGAAGAGTCATGAAACTTCCATGGCATATTCAGGGCCATAGCCAAGGTCTCAGACATGAGACTGGCGGAGCACCTATGTTTTCCTGATACCACCAAGTCTTATGTCCTTTTCACAACTATTCTACAGTGATGCAAAGAAATAAAATAATTTTTTCACCAAGTTCGCACCATTAACACACAATGGCACAAGGACACAAACTTGGGCCCTCTGCCTTCAAACCCTGTGCTTTTTTGCCCATGCAGAGCCTCTGACGACGTGAACACTGCAGCACATCACAGAAAAAGGACTAATTTCTTGCAAAAAGACCTCCTAAAAGTAATGTAAGGTCAACCAATAATTTAAAAAATGGTCAAAAGGAACAGACAGCTGAAAGAAAAATATATGCAGAGTACCCAATCTCAGTCCTTATAAATATCCAACTGGCAAAACTTAGAAGTCTGATGACTCACTGTGACGGAGACAGTGTGGGTGAACAGCACTCTCATCCACTCTTGGACACTATAAATTTATAGAGGGCAATTTGGAAAAGATTATCAAAAACACAAATGCTCAAAAACCTTCTGACGCTGCAGTTTCTTTCTAGAAACTGATTGACTACATTATTTGTAACAGTTGAGGTCTGGAACCACCAAATGATCTTTGATGGGAGATACTTAAATTACGATACACCATCTAACAGAATTCTAGATAGTAATCAAAAAAACACTGGGCAGGGCCCTGGCTGACGTGGCTCAGTGGGCTGGATGCCGGCTTGCGAACGGAAAGGTCGCCAATTCAATTCCTGTCAGGGCACATGCCTGGGTTACGGGCCAGGTCGCTAGCTGGGGGCATATGAGAGGCAATCCATCAATGCTGCTCTCTCAGTGATGTTTCTCGCCCGCTTTCTCCCTCCCTTCCCTCCACTCTAAAAAACAAGCAAAATCTTAACAAAAAAACCCCCAACAAAACAGGGTGAGGCAAAAGCAGGTTCAGTTTTGAATAAACGAAACAGTTTACTCTTTATATTATTTATTACTTTCCATGTGAACTGTGAACCTAAATTTGCCCCACTCTGTATTTGCACATTATCAGTGTGTTCCTAGAAGGGTCTGAAAACTGAGTGGCTGAAAGGCAGTCAAGGCTGAGAAGGCTGAACTTTTGACTTGTTACCTACCTGTTACCACTAGTACCTATTCAAACAAACCCCCTCCATAATTTGCCGTTAATTGTATCTACAATTAAAAGTGTAAAGCCTATTTTGAAAACCAAGTTTTTTTAAAAAGCCCAAAGCCAGTACTTTTATAAGCAAATTTATTGGTGTAAACTAAATCAAACCCACATCTGTTGTTTTATGCTTACCACCCCCACCTCCATCAATTAAAAAAAAACTTATTTTGGTTGTATAAAAATCTCTCATTATATCTTTGTAAACATTAGGGCTGATATAGTCAACTACTCAACTAGTCTGTATTTTTCTAAATAACTTTTGTAGTATCAGAAATGGGTGGGGTTTTTTTGTTTTTTTTACCAAATTGTGATTTCTCTTTGACCCTCCAATTAGCCCTTTATGATTTAGTACTGTCATTTCCATTTTAAAGTTAAGAAAATTAAGACTCAGAACCAAAGAACGGAACCGAAATCTGATGGCTCAGAATCCCACATGCTCTCCACTATGCAACTGTTCTCAAAAAGCAGAAAAAGGTTTTATTAAAAAAAAAAAAATCAAACAATTTTTAAATAAAATACTCTACTGAGCAGCTCTAGTCCTTAAACATACAACACTGCATGGGATCCATATTTATCTATTTCTCCAGGTTAACAACTGAAGCACCATATTCCTCCAAAAGTTGAGTTACCACTACTCAGCAACTCCACTCCTAAGCATACACGAGAAATGAAAACATAATGTCCACACACAAACTTGTACATGAGTGTTACCAGCAACAGCCAAAAAGTAGAAACAATCCAGTATGCCAAACAAGATGTTTCTCCCCTCCCAACATATTCCCACCAATCATTCTCTTTCCTGTATTTTTCCTTCTCCTGTTCTTTCCCATCAACATGTGAGGTATGTCCAGAAAGTATCCAACCATGCACTATGAAAAACAGAAACATTTACTGAAGATACAAGAAACAGGAAACATTGTACACAGGACAATGAGCCTCAGTCCCCTTCAAAGTAGGCACCTTGGGACCTCACACCGTTCTCCCAATTGCCATCAGATGCCCTGTCATAGTTTCCTGAATTTCACCAACAGTCTGAAATCTTTCAAAGGTGATTTGTTTTGGGAAAAGCCAGAAGCCACAGGGTCTCAAACTTGGGCTATAGAGGGGCTGAATCACCTGGGTGACTTAAGGTTTCATCAAAAAACTCTGCATGCGATGTGATATATGAGTGGGTGCGCTGTTGTGATGAAGCTGCCAATCACCAGCTGCCCAGAGCTGCGGCCTTCTGAATCATCTGAATAGTTTCCACATAAGGAATGTTCAAGCTTAATGCAGAATCTGATGCAGATTCCTTGCTCTACTCGCTCAATCATTTTGAACAAGACAGCCACACCCTACACATGCTCACTCAACGGTATCTACCACCCCCACTGACTAGTAAAGTTGTCACTGTTCACGTGTGTGCACTCCATTCCACTCTCCTCGGCTGCCAGGTTACACTGATGTCACCCAAACAGTTCTCATTGTATTAACAATTGCTCTACTTTTTCAGGACAGACCTCGTATACTCCAATTACATGATTAAGATAAATGACCCCTTTTAATCTCATCTCATCTTATTTCCTTCCAAAATTAAGTTTCTGTAAATAAGTCTATACAGTAGGTCCCTGAATGTTTCATTGTAACTTTGATGAAATACTGTAGTAACTTAGCTCTTGTTTATATCAGCCTACTGAAAGACTGCTTTCATTATACCTCATATCAAAGCTGCAGAGCCTATTGACATATTGAGAATTTACTGTACGTTACCATTTCTTTAACATTCTTTCACATCTCATCCCATTACCACTGTGACCACTCTTAAAAAAAGTCTTCAAATGTCCTATTTCACATACCCAATATTATCTTATCTTAAAGGAATACTGCTTAATTTTTGTTAGCATTCTTTCCTGGTTTTCTGCACATATATCTACTCTTAGTTTTTTATTTCTCATTCCAGTTACTACTAATGTGCTACTCCCCAGAGTTTCAGATTTTGACTTCAACTCTCCTTTTCCCTAGGTCATCTTCCTACGCCTGGTTTTAACCATCATGAATATATAGAAGATTCCCTTTAGAATGTCAGGGATATTATATATTTCCGATTTTAGACTAGAGCCTGGCCATTAGTGAGTTTTAAGTAAATATTTGTTTACTGAATAGTAAGTAGCACTGACTGCTTACACTCTGCCAGACACTGTCCTAAACACTTTTCATTTATTAACATGAAACTATGTCTCTGATTACTTCCACTTGAAATTATTTCCTCAAATTCAGCATGCCTACAACTTAATTTATCTTTTCCAGTATTCATGTCTCCAACTAGACCCCTACAATACTAATAAGTCTCCTTCCGTCATTCTGCTCTTATTCAATTTCCACACTGCTGACAATCATCTCTCCAGACCAAAAATCAGATTATGATTCTGCTCTATTTAAAATCCCTCAATGACACCTCACAGCTTAAAAATAACACAAACTCTCGCTGGTCAATACAGTTCAGTTGGTTAGAGTGTTGTCCCATAAATGGAGAGGTCACAGGTTTGATTCCAGTCCACAGCACATACCCAGGTTGCAGGTTGGATCCCAGGTCAGGGCACATATGAGAGGCAACCGATGAATGCTTCTCTCTCACACCGTTTCTCCCCCTTCCTTCCCTTCGCTCTA